GCATATAGGAGTATGGTCTAATGTAGAATACAAGAAAAATAAGGGTTTTGGAATAGGGTTTATTATTAACAAGAAGTAGACAAGACATAGTATTAGTAGACAAAAGCTCAGTATACCTAATTGAGCTGGTATTATGATTCAAGAAAATAAATTATTTTATAATCTGTGCATATGCACCACCCAACGATGAGGTAAAAAAAGAAAAAATCAGGAAAAGAATAAAAGAACGAGTCTTGCAAGTTAAGCGAAAAGAAAAAAGAGTAATTATTCTAGGTGACTTTAATACTGAAACAAAAGAGGACTTGGCAGAAAAAAGAAAATCAAGGAAAATATGCAAAGTGATAAGACAACTGTTCGAGTTCTTTGAAGACAAAGGTTATACAGACTTAGAACAAAGTACTAACACAGGTAACCACAGTAGTATATAGCAAGGCAAAGGGGTAGAGACAAGAATAGATTATATTTGAATATCTAAAGAATATAGATCGAACTGTTTTAAGTATAAAAATATAGACGCAAAAAACATTACATATAGCAACCACCATATAATAGGTGCAACTCTGCTATCAGATATACTGTAGGTCTGCATATAAGTAAAAGCACTAGATATAGAAGAGCAAGAACTAAAAGAATAGTGTTCGATATGAAAAATATTATTGAGAAGAACTGGCAAGAGTATAGTAAAGTTCTAGACCAAATTTTAGTTGATAAATAAACAAAGGCTACAGGGCAATATAAAAACAGTACAGTAAGCATAGATACGAAATAAGACATTATCTATAATGTATTTGGAAAAGCCACAAAAAAGACTCTGTCTAAAAAAAAAGTTCTGAAAACACTAGTGCAAAAGCTGCCAGACCAAGCATTACAAGCGGCAAGAAAGGAAGTCAAAGAGCTTAGCAAGCTATGTAAAAGATATAAACACAATATGCTAAAGACAATAGAAGCCTCAAACAAAGTTTTAATTGAAACCAAGATAAAAGAGATTGAAGAATATACAGAGGAGAAAGAACAAGTAGAGGTAATAGCTTGGTCTGAAGAATTATATACATGGCTTGCAATACAAAGAAAGATAGCGTATCACATCTGGAACAACAAAAAAAAAGCTACAAATAAGGCAGAAATTAAAAGAAAAATTGAAGAAAGAGGAGAGATGCTAGTAACCAACCTCAAGAGAATGCTCAATAGTATATTAAACAGATACAGAAATAGTATTAAACTTGATAGAGTTTTAAAAGAGGAGAAAAGTGTGTAGCACCTAGTAAATAAGGAAGAAGATATAAAGCAGGTGATATATAGTTACTTCAAAAGACAGTTTGCAAAGCATGATACAAAGCCAGACCAGATGAATACTTTTTAGAAAGATCAGTATAGTCTACTTAAAAATATAAATGCATTATGGTACAAGAAGCTCTTTGACAAAATATCTAACAAGAAATAGTATATAGCACTTAAAAAGGCAAGCAACAAGTCAGCACCTGGCAATTCGAAAATTACATACTCCCTAATTAAAAGAGCAGGAATAAAAGCAAGAGGCTTCTTTAGAAAACTTGCTTTACAATGCCTAAAAGAGGAAAAAATTCTAGAGAAATAGAAAAAAGGTATTTTGTACCTTATTTCTAAGAAGGAAGACTGAAACTATAATCTGGCAAATATAAGACCCATCATGCTTCTAGAAACATTTCAGAAGGCAACTGTGAGAATTCTAAATACAAGATTAAGCAAGATCTGCTATGAAAAGATGATATTGAGAGGGCTCAACTTCGTAGAGCTCCCAGGAAACTGTACAAATTCCCCAATCCAGATACTAATATATATCATTGAAGAAGCGAAAGAAAAAAAGAAGAAGCTATAGATCTTGCTGCAAGATATGAAGAAAGCCTTTGATTTAGTAAACTTGAAAATGCTAGATCTTGCAATTCATAGAATCAAGCTACTAGACAAAATAAGAAAATTCATCCTAGACCTGTATAAAGACAGAAGAGTGAAAGTTATAACAGCTTTCAGGAATACAGAAGAGTTCATAGCTGAAGATAGAATAGACCAGAGAAAGGTTATTTATCACTAGTGTGGTATATTTTCTATGACCCACTTCTAAAGGCTATACAAGAAGCAACTGAGTTAGGTTTTTATATAGACCTAAATTGGCCAGCCAATCTATCCTTGAATAAAATTAATAAAAGCAGCTAGCGTCAAGCAACAATAGCATATGCTGACAACACAACATGGGTAGCAAAATCTAAAGAAGATTTAAATAGAATATTAGAGTTAGCAAGTGAGTTCTATCAAATAAATGATATTAGCACAAATGGAAAGAAGTCCGAATTACTAGTTTTCAACAAAAAGATCAAAGAGGAAGAAGAAGTGGAATTTGAAAAAAATAATGAGAAAGTTCAGTGCAAAAGAAGAAAAGAAGTAGCAAGGTTTCTCAGTATATGGGTCTCAGAACACATGAGTAAAGCCAAGATAATTAAGAAAGAAACAGAAGAGCTTAAATAAATAGTCTTGCAGAAAAAGATATCAAATAGCCAAATAATATATATTAACAACAGAGTGCTAATATCTAAAATTGAATACAGGGTACAGACAACAATGCTAAACAGAAACATATACAAGGAAATATATGATAAATTTCTTAAAGTGGTCAAAAACAAATATAGACTAGCAACAAATACCCTCAATGGAGTAATAAATCACAAAAATATATTAAGAGTATAGCTTCTATAGAAATCATTCATAGCGCATCATATGAGCAACTTCACATATAGAATTAATGATACAAGTATATTAGGGCAGTTAACCTGGATAAGAATCAAACAGACACAACTGAACAATAAAAGTACAAAAAGTATTATAAGCCTTAACAAAAAGCAAACAAGTAGTCTAAATATATCAAACAATCTAAATACATGTATAATTAAAGAGGTATGAAAAATAGGTTTTAAATTTAAAAGTGACACCTTTAAAACAGAAATACTTATTACAAAAAAAAGAACAGAGATCTATGATTTACTCAACTCCAAATACAGACAAGCCTTTTGTAAAGAGAACAAGCTTAATCTCTTTATTTTAGAGCAAACAATTAATAAGAGCAGAACATACATATTAAACTGGGTTCAAATTAAAAAAATATGGGAATGAAAGAGTCTGAGAAAAAACTTGCCTAGTTTAAGAATTTAAAAATGGCAGCAATTGAAGATACAGAGCTGAGACAATTAAAAAATCATCTAACATCAGACAGTTTAACCCTTATGCAATTACAGCAAAACTAGATTATATAATGAAAGACAACAGAAAAAAAGAATGGATCATGTTTACGGACAAGACAGGAGTAGTAAACCTAGGTAGAATAAAAAAAAAGAAAACAGAGAGAGCTTTTAAGATAAATCATTGGGTAGAAAGCAAAGATTACTCAGAAGGTAGCTCTATAGTATAAAAATGCCCAGAATGTGATCTAAATCAAAAACAAAATGATGAAGTGTGTATTTTTAGCAAAAGGTTCAAAAGTACAAAACAGGCTCTACCAAAATCATTATTTGTATATAATGGAAAAGGAAAACAATATATGATGAAACTAGACAATTTATTAATACAAGTAAAAACCAAAGAGTTAAATATATATGAAAAATCAACCAAGAAGTATTAATAGAAGCACTCGAAAGAAAATAATCACTAAATATATCAAACAAGAAATAGCCCAAAACATCCTTAAAGACCTTAGCAAAAAAGCAAGAAGAGTATCTTTCTGGAATGCTTATACAGATAGGTCTCTTAAAAGACCAAAACCACACCAAAATAACAGCAATTGTATAGACATAGTGTCATATAGTTTTCAAAAAGCCCTTATACCTAGTAAAAGGTAAGCAAATAGATAACGAAATGTTTAATGAGTCGAAGAATGAAAGGATGAAACGAAGATATGAATCGAATGACTCATGTGATCATGTGATCGATCGGGGTTGTGTCAGAATATCATAGTGGCGGGGCATGATCGGGATCAGGTATGATAGGTACCATGATCGCTGAATGCATGAATATGACGATTAGTTGGGGAATAATTAAAAGTTTAATAGATTAATGACAAAGAAATAGTTAAAAGTGTAGTACAAACTATGTAATTGTTAGAATTAGATAAATAACGAATGTAAAATAAAGAAATACAGGGAGTCTCTTGGACTGGAAATTGAGTAAAAGTTGTTATAAAGTAAATACATATACGATCCGAAGTGTGGTGTGTTGTATAGTGTGCGTCTCAAGTGCCAAGCGAGACCTAAAATAAAGTTATAGCCATCTGAGGTAGATAGCAGTCATTTTGGTGATTGCCTAACTCTTTGACAGAGAAGGACCTGGGTAAGCAAAGTACCCTCGCAACGTTAAAGTTCGGACGAAGCGGTCAAGAGACTCAAAAAGTGATAAATCGATATAAAGAACATTAATATATAAGAAAACATTGATAAGAATATTAAATAAATAAACCATCAAAAAAATAAATAAGAACAAACCATTTTACAAAAATGATCAACCATGTCAATTCAAAACTTCACCAAACCGCTTTATCACGGAAATGAAGATGAAGACATAGAGGATTTTCTTTTTGACTTCGAAATGTATGCTGAATCAAAACAATGGGATGACGACAAGAAGAAGAAGGTCGTTGGGCTTTATGTTGCAGAAAGGGCGAGAGTATGGGTATGTGGATTGATGAAAAAGACAAATACCTGGGCAGATCTAAAAACTGAAATGAAAAAGGCCTATGGTGTCGATGTTGAAAAGGATAAACATAAAGCGATTATTCATTATCAAAAATCTGAAGGTATGGGTAAAGTTGGTGAAACTAATGATGAAGATCGTTGCCATCATTATGGAATTGGAGACGATAAAGATGATAATTCGAATGAACATGTTCTTGAACACTGTAATAATACAGAAATAGGTGTTAGAAGCGATGAATATAAAGTTTTTACTCATTATCAAGAATCCTCCGATATGGGTGATCCTAGTAGAATAGGTGATGAAAAAGAAAAGTATAAGGCATTCTATTCGTGCCATAACCCAACTAAAAATGAAAACTTCAGGGATACTAGCTCAGATGAAAAGAATGATTATAAGTTGTCGAATGTGGATGAAGTTGATAAATCACTCGCCAATTCAAATAAGCTGGCGAATACTGAGTCAGGTGATCCAATGGGGCTTGAATGGTATTTACACGTAGATGGAGGTATGAATGATAATATTGATGATGATGTCGATTGTATTAAGATTATGAAGTGTACGGTGGTTGAGAACAAAGAAGAAATGAGTCAGAGAAGAGAGATAGTTAGTAGAACAAATGAAGATATGAACAATACGAATAGAGGTGCGGTAGTGATAAACAGTAATAAAAAGAGGATCGATGTAAATAATAGAAATGGTATAATTATTTGTTCGACAAGTAGTGATAAAGCATGTCAAAAGATTAATGTAAAACTTGAAGACTCACCAGAACCGGATGGTAAAGTAAACTTGATCAAATCCATAGCAACAGGTTGTAGTAATGTTGGAGATTGTTATCCATATTGAATTGGAAATAATAAGAATAAATGTAAGGTGTTCGTTTATCAGCAAAAATCAGAAGATGAAGGTAACGTAAATGGAATTGACGTTGAAAATAAATCTAAAGCATTCCACCATTATCAAAAAGTTGGTATAAATGGCATTGATGAAATTGGAGTAAAAACGAATAAACATAAGGCATTCATTGATTGTCAAAGATCAGCTTACCATGAGTATGATGGAATCGATATTAAAAGGAATGAACATAAGTCATTCATCGATTATCAAAGCTCAAGAGAGACAGAAAGGGTAGAAGGAGCGAACAATCTTGGGTGTGATAACCAAAAGGAAACTGGAATCAGTAACAGCAAAAATGATGGATTTGCATCATGTAATCGTGGAAGAATTCATCGCTGGAAAAGTGGATTTGAAAAGCCATTTACCGATTTAAGTAAATCATTAAAAACTGAACCAGAAAATGCGAAAGCCTTTGAATGGAATATGATAAATGTCGAAGGTGGAAGATTGTTAATGAAAAGTGGATTTAATCAAAGATATGATGAATGTTTAGGAAGGATGGTGGGGCAAATTGAAGAAAGTATAGATAAAGGTGATGAAAACGACAAAAGCGATAGTGTGCATGTAATGCTTAGAATGGATATTGATAAAGAGAAGATCTATAAAAATGAAAGAGGGAATGAAAGGGAAAGTGATGATGAATCGGATGAAAATGGTGAGGAAGACGAAGATGAAATTAATTAGGTGATAGCCGTAAGGAGATTTAAAACAATCGAAAATGATATACAAACCTTAAAAGGAGGAGATAGAATGATGAAAGGTCAAACCGATCAGAATAAATTATGTGAAGGGCGATCTTTAGAAAAAGATAAACAAACCTCTAAGGAGGAGCATGAATTAGAATTTCTGGACAATGTGGGAAAATTTCGTCAAAATCTGATTAAAACCAAAGAACAATCAGAGTTATTGAACCCAGTAGTATTATGAAAACTAACAATGGGGAATGTTGATTTACTTAACTTTGG